CCCCGCCCACCGCTCAGTGTTTGAAAATCAGCCCACGTTTCCTTTGTTTCAATTCCCGCTCTTTTTTTTGTTATTTTCTGTTCAAGAAAATAAATGCGTCTCAAATATCACACAGGATCAATATCAAACGTGTAATTTATTAAATATCACACAGGATCAATATCAAAAGTGTAATTTATAAAAAAAAACACCATAAACCCACTGATAACATTTGGAGAAAGGAGAGCAGTACCGATTAGATTATTTTTGTTCTCTGTTGTTCTGCTAATTTCACTTCTGCTCAAACTTAAAAACCATCGCTTTCTGATTATCTCTATTTTATAAATCACTTTAATTCAAAGGAAGGCTAAACAAGTAAATGAAAGCGTAAGAGAAAGATAGATGCTCTCATTGTGCGCCTCTGACAGCAATATATAATATACAACATACAAGCTCCACTTTTGAGAATCAGAACACAAATCTGAAGGAGAGTTTTATTGTCAGGCATGTTTACACACGAGAACTTTGTTTTAATGATAGAAACTGCCACAGCAGAGAATGAAAACACAAAACATAATATAAATAAAATTTGATAAAAAAGTTTTGGGCTGAGAGACCTGAACATACTTATACTTTCGGTGAAACATACACCAGCATTACACTTGATTTGTTCAAACGGGGTTTGTTCTCAACGTCCTTTTCACAAGACAAAACGGAGAAACAAACTGAATAATCATTGTTCGGCTCAACAAGAACATACTTTATTTTCGGTGCAACACACCAGCATTTAACTAGCTTCACTTTTAAAAGTGGATTCATTCACAAACGTTTTTGTAGTTTATATGAGACATAAATCACCAACAAAACTTCAAGATGGATTCTTTATGTGACAGTGTGGGTGGCTCTTAAAAGAGCCGTTGGGTTTGTGGTTTAAAGGCTTTTAACCTCCGAAGCCGTACAAGGTGCGTCCCTGTCGCTTCAGCGCGTACACCACGTCCATGGCGGTGACGGTCTTTCTCTTGGCGTGCTCGGTGTAAGTCACGGCGTCGCGGATCACGTTCTCCAGGAACACCTTCAGCACCCCGCGGGTCTCCTCGTAGATCAGACCGGAGATGCGCTTGACGCCGCCGCGGCGCGCCAGACGACGAATAGCGGGTTTGGTGATTCCCTGGATGTTATCCCGCAACACTTTACAATGCCGCTTAGCGCCTCCTTTCCCGAGTCCTTTACCGCCTTTGCCT